ACCGTATAACAATGAGCTACCGGTGAAGAGCTCCAATATCAGAATGTCGTTCATTTTAGGGCCCCCAACGTCTCTCTGAGTACAGCATTGTGCAGGCACGTGTATCACCGGTCGATAAAATATCTTCCAGTGCACCAGCTGCGAAGCGTCCCTGTAGTCCACTCGGAACCCAACAGAATGAATGGAGTTGAGTTGACTGAAAAGCTTTGGAAGCTCAACGGGAGCAATCTTGGTGCCGATGATTTGGATGACAAGTTTTAGACCGAAATGGAAGCCAAGCTCAAAAGTTGTGAAGCCGCCTGTCCGAATCCGCTTGCACTTCCAGTGAAAACTGGATTCGATCGCCAATGGCAGCTCCGATTGATGCCATAAAAACTAAATCAGCAAGAAACGGCCATGACAGCGTGCTCAGATCTCCCAAACACTGAACTATGTAGATCCCAGGAACCAACGGAGTGCTGGTGAACAGCAAAGTTCTGACAAATGGATACTGCTATTTTTGTCACGGGAAACGCTCGCACCCTAGTCTACTTAATTCATTCAAGTGGTCCGAGAAGTATGTGTAGTAGAGAAACGATCCCTTATGTGTATAGGACTTCAATTCACTCACGAAAACACCGTCGTGGGTATGCGTATAGTCATCCTACATTCTTGGTGTTCCTTGAATCCATTAGTGCCTTTGGTTGTGTCGACTGGTTAGTCCTTTTTAACATGCTTTCGCAACTTGGCGTGTTGCTGGATAGCATAGGCTGCTTGCATTCACACATGGAGAGCTATCCAAAGGATTTCCTACAAACACCTGTATCCAACATGCATGCACACTCTCCATACTTTTCCTAAATTTCGTCCCTGATAAGATAGTGGGGTGAACACTGGAAGGTCTCCGAAACCCCAGTGTCCATATCCCTTCCACAGAGAACCTTGTCGACCTGGAATATGTAGACGTTATTCTCGTTTTTGAAAAGACAGGAAGCCCAAGCATTACTGGAATACCTAAGGTCATCCAGTTCTTCGGTATGTGCCTCGCACCCACAATCCGCAAATTCACGCTACTGGACATACAGTCTATGAACATGCCTCTAAGAATTTGGGGAGCGACACTGGAAGTTGTGATACGAACATATTGATGAGACGCATCGTAGTAACTGGACTTTTTTGCCTGTAAAACAGCATGCTAACGTCACTTTTTCGTGACTGTCTTCCAGGTTTCTCCCAATCAAATGTTCAACTGCAAACCTAAGGTTCTGTCTCAACCAATTCTTCAGTTTGCACTTTACAGTTGTTAAGCGCGCACCAACTTATGCAGCTGACCCATTTAGATTGCCTGAATTCCTCTGGAGTCCGATCCCACTACCGTTGTGTTATCCTGGTACTCGGGTTTTTGCGACCTGACGTCCCAAATGCATTTCACTCCACCATGCTTTTGTTTTCTATAGAGGAGAATGTCAGTAGCTCAGGTAGCGTAGATGGTCGTTGGCTTGTTCGCTGAGCTGGGCAATTTGGTTGCAAACAGTGGTTGCCAACAGTGGTTGTGGCACAACCACTAACCCACCGCTACGCACAACTACGCACTGATGATGTCACCTCGATTGGTGATGAAACGTTTGCAACCAAATTACCCAGCTCAGCGAACAAGCCAACGACCATGCTTTGGTTTGTTAGGGTCCACTACGGGTATATCGATACCGAAGTTAAAGAGCAAAATAGAGGATGGATAACGTGGCCTGGAGTCGCTGATATAACAGCTCATTCATGAGTGGTAGCCTAAAAGGATTTCAGCAGAGTCATGAATCCATTTGAAACTTTTCTTCAAAACGGATAATGCCAAAAGCGGTCTTCGACTGAGGAACGGTTACTTTTCTTGCTCACTGAAAAATCATCATTACATCAGCACATTCTGGGTGTGAAGCTATAATCGATGTACATTATCGGCTCTGCCTCCTCATATCCAAACAATCTTCGTCTGATCCACTATGGAAGCTAAGACCTACACGCTATCATTTTCCTACTTTTAGCACATGGTTCGTGTGCCGCTCTTAATAATTGGAATGATTGGGATATTTCTTTTACCCATACTGTCCTGTCCTGTCGACTGGCGGAAGAGCCCAGAAACTGTCAGGTAGATCCTCCTGTGTCCTTGAGTATCCCTTGACTCTTCGATGCCGACAGAAACCCAGAATTTTCCAAATCGCAAGCAACTTCTAATGAAATTTTTCTAGCCTCCTGATGCAACGAACAATTCTGACATATTCTCTACTCATTATTAAACGCTTCATTCTGCCTCGAATCGTGGAATCGTTTGTATAGATGTTGTTTATGGGGAAAATCATTTCAGGTTGGCTGTTTTGCTCAAGGAGACCGAGCTAAACGCAGAACGCCTAATCATCGTACGCTCTGTCTATGACTACGCTTTAGTTGCTTACGTTGAAATGTGACGATTTATGTACCTGGGCGGCCCACTGAGCTATACTGGGAGGGTGTGTACGCGCTACACCCGCAGAGTTTCTCATACCAGGCTGGTCAGTGGTTATAGGTTTGACGAACACAGTCCCCTGGTCCTCCAGTTTGGGGGTTGGAACATGTGCAGCAACTTTTTTCACGAAGATGGCAATGTATCTTCATTTTCCGCCAAACACCGCTGCCTTGCGTTCAGGCTTTTGAGTCATCATCATCATCATCGTCAGCTGTAAGAACCGCGTACTCGTCGTACACTGGTTGTAGCTGCCGCAGTTTCGTTCACCGATGATTTGGGGGGGGGGGTATGTAGCTGCGCATTGCACGCGCGAGCTGGTAAGTTTGTGCATAAATCCAGCACTGTCAGTGGGCTGTCAAGTGGGGGTGGGGAGTTGGAAAAGGAGCTATGCATTGAAGGCAATAGCTTGGATGCACGAGCGCCATTGAGGGCGCGACTGGGCCATGTCTGATAATGTCTCTAGCCATTGAGATTCACTAACCGTTCTCCTGTCTGGGTGTGGGGGCCCTGGCAGATTCCTAGCCCAAGTACAACCATGGATTGCACATATCCAAATAAACTCATTTAACATCGGAGTCGTGTAGTGCCATCAACCGGGTAGTCCAGGGTGATTAGGCCAAAACATATAACTGATGACGCCCTCCCTATTTCACTTTCACATACTTTTTTCTTTTCCCTCTCCCCATCCATTATTGATCATCACCATCATCGACAGCATGACATCAGTTTTCAACACCGATGCTTCACTGCCCATTATTAAATCTCTCCCTGTAGGCCCAGCATTTAGGATTGATGACTCCGTTCCTCCTGTATCGGTTTTCCAAGCGAATTCCGCGCGTCATCCGGCACCGACATCCTCAGCCACCTTGAAGTCAATCTTCATGCCTAGACGCCTAGTCTATCTAGCCGCCTTCATTCCCTACAGTCTGAAGCAAGCAGGTCAACAACCTGCTCTTGCACTCACACTGGATCGCTTGGTATTGATATGCATTGTGTTCCAGAAACCAGAATTAAAGATGCAAGCACAGTGGTTGAGCTACCCACCCCATCACTCTCCCATCATCTCCACACAGCTTTTGTGATCCAGAGGCTCCTGTGGCAGGATACTCGGGGTTTGGTATCGTAGTAAGTGACCAGACAGAAGGATCCTCGCTTGGCTTGATACCCGTTGATAGTCACCTCTGCGCGATTCGTCTGACAAAGTCTCTGAATGAGTCTTACAAGCGGGAAGTCGTTCGATGTCCGTTTGTCGTATCTGTATACCCCCCAAATGATTGTAACCCTGACACCACCAAGCCAAGTTTTACGGCGCCCTGAATGCCCTTTTGCGGCGGGCTGAAAAGTCAGATAGCTTTGTAATTGCCAGGGATCTGAATGCACAAGTGGCTTAGCGCATCTGAGACTCAGTTAGTAGGTCGATATAGATTGGGCTCGGTACATACAGACAATAGGGAACGGTTGCTTCAGCTCTGTGCTGACAGCAACCTGTTTTTTACGCGATACTGCCTTCCGAAATAGCCGAATTCGTCTGGCCACATGGTGTCCTCCAACGAACTCAAATCGATCACATTGCTATCAATTACCAATGTCGCGGATAAATAACTGGCTGCCGGTCGTTTTGGGACACACTAGTAGATTCCAACCACGCGCTCGTCCGGAGTCACTTCTCTCTTCGTTTTCCGGGGCCGTCTAAGGTGCGGAAAAATTGGCTGGCAACTGAGAGACTGTCAGATCGGCTGTGTGACGGGTATTTCCATTGAAGAATGTGCCTAGTGCCAGAAGATGCGTTGGTTGGGACATTTGTTGCATGTGCCGACCCATCGTTTGCCGAAGATGGTGCTGTTTTCCATGCCCAACTCAGAGTTGCGGAAGCAGGGAGGTGGCCAACTCTTCGCGTTCTCGTTTCTACTCAGATTGCCTGAATAAGTATTTGAAGGTGCAGGCACCTCAGAATGATTGTAGTAAGCTAGCGCTAAGTCCCTTCCCTGTCCATCTTTGTTCTTTTCAAATAAATCATGGTTGTACGGCTGCGAGTCATCAGTGTTGAACGCTGATGTCGCCCTGTTCATGATGATGATGATATGCTTTGGATTTCTCGATCATCGGCTGTGAATATTTCAAGTTTGTTCTCCAGCGTACCAAATTTTTCTAAGGATCCAAAGGGTAGCATCGTTTTTAAGTGCAATGTGGCATTCAGTGTGCCTCTCCTGACATTGTTTTTGATATCGATAAACCAACTGTTTCCCTGGTTGAAGCCTATTTTTCATGTAGCAAAATGTGGAACGGGAGCATAGTTGATCATCTGATGAGATGGAGTTTCCGGTTACTACAAAAAGTGTGTATTCTCTCAACAGGAAAAGGTGTCGATCCGATCGACAAGTCATAGTTTCGGAAAGGTTTGAGAATTCCACCGGTAGTTCTCCAAACTCTTCTGAATCGTCCGGGGCACAAGTGACTTCATTGTGTTTCTTGCTTACATTTACCTTTCCCGGGCAAAAATAGACTTCTCTTTTTCATCCCTTTCAAGGTAAAGAATACGCTTTCGATGTGCGATACACTTCACGCGAGGTTTACGACCGTGCCCGACGTCATTTGTATCACTGCACCAGCAACACTGCCCCACATGAATCGCCACCAAACTACCCGGGAATGATATCAGGTTCGCTCGGTGATCCCTCCAACCTATCTTCTAGCAATGAACTTGGTGCACACCGGGCTTCAGGCGATGTGGGTCTTGTCAGTCTGAAACGGGATTACTCCAGCCGAGCGGATTCATTTGTTTCCGACGAGGTGAGTCATCTACTCCGTTTTTGAGAGTACACCGCACTATCACTGAGACCCATTCATCGTAGCATAACTCGGCCGTGGGACTGCTTTATCGAGCAACTTGCGGTAGAACTCTCGAACATGAATTGCTCCACGTTGCTGGCTAACATATGAGACTGAATTCATTATCACTAGGTTGTGATCATTCATGCAGTCAAGCCTTCGCAGTCGGCAGTGGAGCCCTTGTTGCCATGACTATCACGGTAACCGCCGCGACTACATTGACTTTGCTTGCCTGAGCAACAGTCCACTGCTCATTACGAACAACACCATGGACGAGATAATCGCAGATCCCAGGCAGTTATTCTCTGTGCGGGGTAAAACTTTCGTTCCAATAGACGACGCCAAATAGTCAGGAAACACACATTACTTTGTTGGTTCGTCAAGACTAGCCGTTTTATCGATCGAACAGCAAGCGACTGGATGCTTTCACACGAACCATCGTATTCGGCAAACGAACACAGGCGCTGCACAGTGAAGTCAAGCTAACTAAGTAGTATGGGTCGAACAGCTGAGACAGAAAATCAACCCATTTACGGGATGCTTATGCACAGAGTTTCGGTCGGTCGAGGTGCCTAGTTTGAACCGACTTCCATGGACTTTGGTGTAGTTGTAGGTAGTTACAAGAACTTACTGCGGGACTTATTATGAAACTTATTGCAATCCTTGAATATAATGCAAATAGTTGGTGGGTTCTCATACTGTCAATGGAAATTAATTTGACGTTGGGTTGTTCACGTACGAAATTTTCCTGTCGAATCGATGAACATTTAAAACTTTGGTGCATGTATACAAATGTTCAAATAAAGAGTCTCGCTTCCATAACGAGGCGCAGAACTACTCTGTGGCAAAACCATAAGACCACTCTTGGTTTCTCGCTAGCTTCTAGCTTCGTAAATGGTTTAAGTTCGTCCTGAAATCCGTTTCCAGTATCCGGTCATAGGCAAGACGACAGGCAGAAAACCGGGAAAAAACTTGTTTCCAAAATGTACAGTCCGCCTTTCATCTATGGGGTCATGTGTTTTTTCTCGGTGCCTTAAATACATTTTGACCATATTCGATCTGTTCACACAAAAATGCGACCGTGACAACTTATTACAGAAAGTGAGTTGCGAGTTAAAAAAAATAAAGTTTTGTGTCAAACATTGCGAATGTCTATATCTCAAATGCCCAACGATAAGTTAAGTTTTCCATAAGTTTTCCAACTTTTAAACAATGTACAGAAAGTGCGAGTTAAAAAAAATAAAGTTTTGTGTCAAACATTGCGAATGTCTATATCTCAAATGCCCAACGATAAGTTAAGTTTTCCTTTCCATTTCCAACTTTTAAACAATGTCAACATCCAATGGCAAGCCCAATAAATCAAGCAAACGGCGCCAGAGTTAAATGATATATATATATATATATATATATATATATATATA